TAAATCCGGGAGATAAATTTTATTGCTTACTCAAATATTGCACATCTTTAAACTTACTACAAAATATGCAAAGCTTTTCTTTCCTTCTACCTATCTAAAAATCTAATTCAAACTTATGGCATCCTTCCCAAAATTTCTTCTATAACAGACTAACATTCGATTTAACACGGGTCATATCTTTGACAATCTATTTGTTAACCTCTCTTTAACTCATTTATCAATAGGAATCAAACACGTCCGGTGTTCATAATTACTCTAAATGGTTCTTTTAATAGTTCAGTGATTAATATAGAGTTTAAAAAAAGCTCTAAAACATTTATTAAAGAGATCAAAACGCTTTCACCCATCACTAAAGGAAAAATCACGCAAAAATCTTATTATCAATCACCTTATATTGGGGACAATTAATAGTGTAATATTCCTCTATACAAGTTACGCATTCGCTTACTTTATTACGCGTTAAGAATCGAGTTACTAATCATTCTCGTTACGTATTCGAACGATGATACGCGACGTCCTCCATACAAAATACATAATTATAGTTGTCGCGTGTCGTCATAGATAATATCGACGGCTATGACGTCACACGTGTGGTACAGTGTTGAAATTATATAAAAAGTCGATTTTGCCTAGAGAATTAATAATTCAACGTTTTTTGCATCATATATAAAGTACATAGCGAAAGAAAATCGAGTTTACTCTTTTCTACTTCTATTCGCTTGTCTTTGGTTATTAAGAATCTTTCCTCGAATTTTCGAAGTGTTTGCCAATACAATTTTTCAAATATAGAGATTTATGATTGATGCGAAATGTATACTAAATCATTTCTTACAATGTAAATTATTCAAAAATAAATATCTGAAATATTCAAAAAGTTCGAAAATTTCAATTAGAACATACACAATTTTTATTATTATTATTATTCTGTTTTATTTATTCATCTGTTATATAGTCTATAGCCTAAATTAAGATAAATGTAATGTTTTTCTATATAAATTATAATATTTCTTGTACTAGAAAGTGTTAATTTTCTAGAACGTTTTTTCTCGTTCCAGAATATATATATTTTTATTCCCGAAAACGTCACTGATGAAGAAGTGTTACGTGTTAAATACGTAATAAATCTAGTGTGTTTTGGTTTTCGTACGTTTACATCTGTGTTTTTGAGTTATTTAATGTTTATGTGTTTCTGTTTATATGAAGTTCCTACTATATAACTTATTTATATATTTCTATTTGTGTGTTTTTCTGTATTGTTACGTATACAGAGTATGTGTGTTTCTGGTTTCGTATACAAAAGCGCGCGTTACTATGCATGTACGAGTGACAATGCAATAACGTAACGTAACTAAACAGTAAAAAAAAAAATGACAATATTTTACTGTTTTGAAGGTTAGATTTTCGTTATTTTCATACAATAATATCCATTCTTCCACCGGATGTTTCGTGTATGGAAAATAAGAAAAAGCTTCAAAAAATACACTCCCCGATAAGGAACCAAAGCCGAAAACGAAAGCTATTACAATTTAAAAGTTAAAGAAATTCGATATCGCATCCCCAACACGTTACGGGATGCGGAGAACACGACGTAACGCGAAAGCATCCAATGAAAAAATAAGTAACAGTACAGTATGTATTTTAAAAAATATTATTTCTCCTCTCCCCTCTCAAAATATATATATATTTTTTGATATCAAATTATAAAAATCTGAGGAAATATTTATATTTTATATGGTAAATATATTTAAGAAAATAATAATAATAATAATAATAATAATAAACAATTGGCGTGAAAGAAGTTGTCGAGGAATTTTTCAAAATTACTACAGAATTCTAATGTGATAAATATACAAGAAGATGTTTATATTTGTAAATTGCATAAACAAAAGGAGCGCACGAGATAGAAAGTGAAATCATTTGCAACGTGAGTGGCTTTAGTGGGACAGAAAAAATCTCAACCGAACACTCACTTCCAACACAACAAATGACATTTCTACGCCTCTATTCCATAATATACATGTACGCTGCATGTCAGACTTAACTTCTTATATTATTAATGAAATGTGGAAAAACAGCACCGTCGACAATAAAAATCCTTTGAGTTTCTACCATCTTTTTCCACTTTCCCTTATGATATACCTTTCGTATAACAGAATAAAATTTTTGTTATTAACCTTGGCCGGGAGCCAGATGAAGCACTTATTTTTTTATATATATATCAACGAGAAATTCTTCAAATTTTGCAACTTTTTAAGGAAAAAAAATGTAATTTATGAAGGGATTTTTTTTATTATTATTTATTTCTAAATTTAATATACATTTGATTCTAATAAATTAACATATCCGATTTTGTATATAAATTATTTCAATTGGGCAATTTAAAAAAAGGGGAGGAAGAAGAAGAAGGAGGGAAAAAAAACGTAACGTTTTTTAGTAAAATTTAATCATTTTTTTACATCTAGATATTTTAATTTAACCAAAAATTTACTTATTTTTAAATTTAATTAACTAGCTGCCACATAACATAACTAAATACACGTAAACCTCGAAGTTACATTTGACAAAAACTAAAAGAAAAATTAATTTCTACAAAAAACTTTAATTTTTAAATTATTTTCTTTATTAAAATCGACAAAAATAGAATTTTATTTATTATAAAAATTTAATTCTTTTTGTTTTCTTTTAACTAAAATAATAATAATAAAAAAAAAAACATTCCCTTCCCCTGTTATAGATACGCTTTCTACATAAATTATACAGTGTTACGACGACACGTAAATGGGTTATATCAAAGTATAAAGTAGTTTAAAGCGTAATTAAGATTATGTAAAGCGTACGATACTTAAATTATTTATAACTTTAAACACACAACCTTTTATTTTTAACGGTAAAAATGTGTGTGTATAAACTTATCTTACTATAAACTGCTCGGGGGTGAGAATTAGTGAAGTGTTAAGAGGGAGGACATATTATTGCAATGGATAAAATATCTGCGATAATAAAAATATCTACACAAAAAGAGAGAGAGAGGAGCGAGAGGGGGGATGGAAGAGCACCGAAAAGATAAAATAGAAACCTTAGTAACTTTCTACGAAATTCTCCAAAATCCGTAGATAGATGCATATATGGGCATCACTCTCCAACCGTTACCAAAATTAAAGTTCTTTCTAGCACTCTTTCTCCTCGGGTCAAATCGTAAATCAAACTGAATGGTACACGGGACGGGATATCCCAATCTATACTGTACTGTATAGTGTGGCCCAATCGAACTGTATAAGAGATGGAACGGAACGTTACAGAAATCTGATCCGTCGATTCGACTTGTTCGATTTTAAGAACGGATATTCCAAGAGAAAATTATCCTTTATATGTGTCTTAAAAATCATTTCAAACAAAGAAAAAAAGGAAAAGAATATATATATAGGCCTATATAGAGAGGTGGGTAGTTAAAAAGCGCGTGATCATCGGAAACCGTAGTGTCAAATTTCGACATAGAAAACCGATGAAATCCGCCTTATTAACTAATAAAATGGCATTTAAAAAAAAAAATGGTTAAGGTAACGAAAATAATTAACGATTCGAGAAATAAATTAAATATTATACGAGCAGAAAATGTTATAAAGTCAAGAGAATTATAAATTATGTACGATATAAAAACGTTAAATGATATAAATTACGCACACACACACACACACACACACACCAAAAAAATAATTGATTTAGAAAAAGTTAGGCTGTGTCAATTGACATACATTACGTTTTAAAAAAAACGCGAAAACATTAAAAGAATCAATTGGCACAAATTGCAGAAAAATAAAACAAAATAAAAAAAGGAGACATTAAACAGGTCAATCAACAAATTACAAATAAACATAGAAACGTTAAATTGTTCGATAGTAAAAAAAAAACGTTAAACAGCATTTAAAATATTGAAAAAAAAAGTGGAAAAAAGTATACCGATTATAAATTGATTGCGGAAATAAATAAAGAACGTTTAACTTGTTTCCAACAAGATAATCTCTATCGAACTTAAAACTGTGATTAAAATAAATGGAAAGACAACTGAAGAGGAGGAGGAGGAGGAGAAAAAAAATATATAATTAAATATTCGGGTATTAGATTAAGAATGATAATTTTAAATTAAGTAAATTCGATTGCAGAAAGGAATAATTTTAAAAAATAATAATAAAAACAATCGTGAAGTTAATATAAAAAAAAATATCAATCTCAAGAGAGATAAAACTATGGTAACGTTTCCGTTAAATATCTTCGTCGCTAAGGATGTATTTATGTTTTCCATTAAAACAGTTAAAGATAAAATGAAAAAAAAAAAAGGTGGGGGCATAGCACAGACACATACACAAACTCAAGGTTATCGAGAAAAAGCCCGGTCTCGTCATTAAATAAGAAAGGAGGTCAAACGGGGAACAGATGCAAATCTCCGAGCTTTACTCTGCCAAAAACCTGTAGGGGGACATAAAAGGATAGTAAAAAAAAAAAAAAAAAAAAAAACTAGACTCGCTTCGTTTAGTCTATTAGTTAAATTAACAAGGTTAATCAAACGGTACACCGACGTCATTAAGAAAACTTTAACCGGGTTGCTGACACTTTATAATTAATTAACTAATTACATTTTAAGAAGGTTAAGAAGGAAAAACTAAGTAGAAAATAAGAGTGAAAGTTTGGCTTACCGCATCCATGCACAACTAGAATCAGTAGCGCAGAGATTATAGGAGGCATTCTGTACCGGAGATTAGCTACAATGACCACGCAACATCTCTCTCCACGTCTATGAAATAAACACAGATACGTAACACGAGGCACTACCGCGTCAATCTCTTTATAACGGTGTATTCTATTGGTCGATATTGTTAAACTCCTCCCGTAAGCCAGTCCATTTAGATATAGGGTATGATGGGGTGTATAGATTCGATGTTGTGTTTACTGTGTTTGCGGTCGGGATGAAACTTTACAGAAGTTTTCAAAAGATGAGACGTATGAGACGACACTTCCGTTTCTCGTTTCCTTTTTTCCTGTATAACGTTTAACTGTTGCGTATCGAAACTTTAAATTTTCTTCCTAAAAACGCCATTTTATTTTCTTCTATTATACACGGTTAAAGTGTTGTTTAAGTGTTATTTTACAGTATAAAATATCACCTGTATCATTATTATTTACATTACATAAATTTACGAACTAGCGTGTGAAGTATTGTTTATATTGTATTTTTTTTTTTAACGTTAAAAATGTTGTTTTTATTGTGTAAAGTGTTCTATTATTCATTACAACTTGTCGATTATTAATTAAATTTTTATTTTATAACCTATTTACGACGCATTTTTATTGTTTACAGTGTATTATTGTGTAGTGTGTTTTTTCAGTGTTGTTATTTACAGCTTGTATTGTCATTTATAGTGTTTAACGTAGTGTTTATAGTGTATTATTCGTAGTTTTGTCCTGTTTTTTTTTCTTTTTTAGTATTACTTTTAGTGTAATTTCTTTGTTACGTTTTATTTTAGTCGAAAGCAGGCGTTACGAAGCTGGGAACTGTACATTACGTCATCCTCCCTTTACAAAAGAAATCAGAGCCAAGGGAAAGGACCCCATTTTCGGGCGTTGCTTAACCGTATTCATAAAAGTTATCGCTATTGCGATACTTTAATTGAGTCAAGCGCCTTTTAAATCGAATCATTTGAGTAATAATTGAGTAAATATTAAAAAAAAAATTACCAAGATAAATTTAAAAAAATACTGTATAAATTTCGAATAATAAAGTAATAAATTTAATATCATTTAACGCTTTCGTGTGGAATAATATATGAAAATTTAATGTAGAAAAATGTTTTTAAAAATCATTTTTTTTTATTTTTTTAAGGCAAAATCAGCATTTTTCGATTCTCGAATGGCTACTTTTGCCATCCATCAAGAGTAGACATCAGTAGACATCAGTAGACATATAGTCATAAGAGAAATCGTTCGTCATTTTATGATATAACCCATACGAAGGCGTAAAAAAACCTTTTTTTTCCTTTTTTTTTTGGTCCCTTGCAATTTCAGGCAATCGTTTCTCTATTTAAAGTTTAAAAAATCGTGTAGATATTGCATTTTTTTTCATGAATTTTTTTCTTCCCATAAGTTTAATAAGGTCTAAATCGAATTCCGCGCCCTTGCATGTTACTTAGTAACATGCAAGGAAGAATAATCCGATTTATATCACAGGAATTTCGGGAATTTTTGTTCAATTCGTGATTTATATAGTGTTTTTGGAGAAAAGAACGTATTTTTTTTTAATGTATTTCGTTTGTTTGATTGTTATCTAAACATGAACTCTCTTAACTATCAACGTAAATTCATGTAACTAAGGCCTTTCAGAAGTCGAAAGAGGTCTTGTCTTTACGTTTTTAAGGCGTTCAGTAATCAAAAATTGCATTGTAAATTTCAAATAAAAAAAATGTAGCAAAAATAAAGATGTTTTTCTTTACACGCGAGAAATGAAACTGAATGAATTATTCGTAACAGATGTTTTGAAGGGTCTCTCGAACAAGAGTCAGGATGACGTTAACGTATATCGTAGCGGAGGCCTCACCTTCTTCCAGGCCTCATCTCACTTCTCATTACTAATATTTTTTTTTTATATCTATACCTAAATTGGGCCAGAAGTCTGAAAAGAGTCCTTACCAGAAGAACCGTTTGACTATAAGATCCTGGCTAGAAGATCCTTGTAAATAAAACTCACTTGATCTTATAATTACTATAATACTCTTGTTACCAATCATTTGTTCTTTTCCTTATTTGTTATTTAGTAAGAAGCAACGAAGAAAAGACTATACAAAAGCAAACTGATGCGAAATTAAATTAAGTATATTTAAGTTTAAACACGATGAATAATTCATAAGTTTATGTACATAGAAAGTTAAAAATTTTTAACATAATTACTAGATGCCATAAATAATTTATGTAATACACGAAATAAGCCTACACCCAAAAATACTTTCGATCCTCCAATACTGTAATTTATGTCTTTACAATGCTAACGAACTATAGACTAAATTATACATATTAAACACTTAATCCGGGCACGCACTACCAGCAACCATAGGTTTATACTACATTTATTATTATGCCGATACGATATACATCACGCTCTTTATAAATAAACAATAAGATAAAAATACTCCAGTTACTTATGGCCTCCGCATAAATTAATGTAGATTAAAGAGAGGAAAAGCAGCTGAAATGATATTCTATCTTACGTTTTCGACTTAATAGAAAAAAAAAGGAATGGAAGAAGAAGAAGAAAAAAAAAATAGAGTAAATGAAAGAACTGTTTACGAGCGTGAGAAGAATCGCGTAACATGATAACAGGTTGAGTCTTTGATAATCTTTAAGGCTCGACCGCTTACTCCAATTTCTATGAATTGCTGATCTGTTGAAGATTGAATTGCAAAATTAACTAATTTGATTATTAAAAATGGCATTTTTTCGTTTATTATTCAGAAAAAATTAATAATAATAACGAGTATTATTTATTGTGACATTCTTTAGTAGTGTGTTGCCCCTGTATATCATACTTTTCCTTTAATTATAGAGTCGTATCAGTCATTTATCTAACACCTTTCAGGAGAAAATTTTTGAATTAAAACCACATAACATCCGATGAAAACGGGAAGTTTATATATAGTTAATCTGGACCTTCTACCTCTAAACTTTCTATACGTAGTCTCGAATTTTATATATCTAACTCCTTTCTCGAGATTTAGGAAGGACAGACGGACAGACAAAGAGAGGGACGTAGACTAGGTATTTATTAGTGTACAATTTCTTTTTTCAAATCGCAGCCCTTGCTTCTCTTTACGAAACTTATCAATTTTTCAAGCTCGTGGTAATTTTCTAGGAATAAAATTTCTACTTCCGAACGTTTTCTATTGATAAATCTGTTGCTAAGTTTTATTTATTGAGTTAAAATAGTAATCCTCTTAAGTGCTTTCGATTCATAATCGCGGTGACATTCTATGAATAAAACTAGGAAAATGAACGAGTAAAGAATTGGGTCGAGTATCTGTAATTAGTTATAATTTAAAATTCTTTACGTTTTCTAATAAGAAATTTATAGATTGAATGCTCTAATTTTACTTTAATATATTACTATTAATGTATATGTTGTATATGTATATTGTAATCAGTTGATAGTTGTATAAATTCGTTTGTTTCGTTCTTTTAAAGTGTAAGTATTGTATTATTTATAATTCAATATTTAAATAAGCTCATTTAGAATTCGCAATTTTACATTTCCGATATTTATGACCGTAATTTTAACAGAGAATTATTAATTTTTCTGCATTAAATATTTCGATTCGAATGTCCTGCGCTTGATGTATTATGTGAATGTAAAATAGGATTTTATAAATATATATATATATATATTCATGTTTTTATCGATTATTCTATATCGATATCTTCCTCCAATATATTGATGTATGTATTCGATTAGTTTATACTAATCGAAAAGGCCTTTGGAATGTCGATAGAGGCCTTAGTCACTTAATAACTTTTTGAGACCTCCACCGATTTTTTTCTTAACTCGTACAAATGTTCTTGAGGCCTTCTTAACTGTGAGGACTAACGACTTAATTGGTCTTCCTGTCAGAAGGCCTTTTAATCGATACCTCAATTAATTAAATTGATGAATTTAGCTTAACGATCTAACGATGTAATTAATTAGTTAGATATTTTGCTTATTCTAGAAATAACTCAGATGATTGTTAGTGTAAAGTGCTGAACATTGAGATTACATAAGAAATGAGAATGTTTTCTACATTCGTCTCTGTTCTTACACTGTTGGAATCTACAGACAAGGGGAAGGCTGGGGATTTTTTCCCTGAGCTCAGAGAAAACTTAGGGATCCGTAGTGTTTCCAACACCTGTAATTTAATATTATATTTACTAACAGAAAGCAAAATCTTTAAGAATGATTTTCATTAATTAATAAAGAAACATTCTACATATTTCATTTGTTTAAAAAATCGACAGAAGGGGACCTCTAATGGGGAAAAGAGACCCGTCCCATACAAGCCCTGTCTATAGACCGTAATCTTTTCTATTATTCCTAATTACGATTCTAATTTAATAAAAAAAACGAAGGTTATTATGAATTAGATTTTAACCTAACAATAAATTACTTTAAATTAATTTATTATAGTAAATAATATAGGCCCTACATACTGATGGACTAAGAAAGCAAATTTATATTTAATTTGGGTCCATTTTTCATTTAAAAAACAAAAACACTGTTTTAATATATTTATAACAATGTTTTTTATGAAAAAAAGAAAACAATATTGTAAAATTGATATACATGTTTTTTATCCAGTAAAAAAAAATCGATGTTTTTATTTGAAGCGAAACACTAAATGTGAAGTATTGTTCCATATAAAATGTTTACTAGCAGTGAGTCACTTGTGATGTAAAAAATGTTATTATATGTAGCCAAAATATTATAGTAAATTATTATGTCGTGTATGCCTAAACTCATTTTTACAGTTTATATACTGTAATTTTATATATTACATAGAAATATTTTATTTTTTTATAATATAAAGTATTGTATGAGGTTTCGTATCTATTGTTGTGCTATAACACTATAACCTTTATTTGTAGTAAATTATTTATAATATATTCGAATTTAAAAGCGTTATATATATATATATATACATATATGTATTTTTAATGGCATCCTGTGTATAAATGATAATATAAAATTTTCAAAACTGCATACAATATATTTCAAAGCATGTGTTTGAAACATACTCGTATGTGTAATTTATAATATTAGAAGACTGATATGTGCATATTGTAGAACCTGTTCAAAACGAAAACCTGCCAAACCGGAAAAATATTCGGTACCGTGTGATTCCGGCTTACGCAGGTTTTACCTATATATTGTGATTTTATAATCTCTAATATAAAATAACACATTATATTACACATAATTGTATGAATATAATATGTAGAATAATACAGTAAAACCTGTTACCTAATTTTTTCCGTTTTATCCAGGTTCCGCCTTAGACAGGTTTTACTGTATAATGGTAAATATTAGTTGTGTCACCATTAATAGTCCACATAACATGTAAAATGTCATGTTTTAAATGCCATTATTTATAGTTGTGTGGTAATATTTGAATTGTCTCATTGTTCTTCGAAGTGTATTGTACTTTATGCTTTGTTATTAATTACAGTTAAATAGGTTTACCACTATTTACAACACATCATTTGTTAATAAGTCTTTTTATAACTGATCTTTATGGTGTTTTTTTCTATATAACTTATCGTAAATAATCGATTTAAATACATTATCTAAGAAGTATAAAAATTATATTTTGACATTCACGTATTCATTACTCTTCTATTATCTCTACTAATATCATTATCTAAATTGTTATATCATGAAAATGAATATCAACTTGTTTACAAGTAAGATACAATAGTTCATTGAAAAAAAATAATAATAATAAAATACTTACTTCACACCTCCAGAAGATGGAACGGATATTAAAAATATTAAGAAATACGTTAAAGGTGTCAAACAGTTGGATAGTCACACCTGAAATTGCATTTTCCTTTACTTTCAGTTGTTAAATTCGCTTCCTGTGAGAATTCAGAATAATAAGTATTGTCAGATTCATCTGGCGCTTAAAAATAGCATTTATTCATCATTTTTCTTTAAAACAAAAAAAAAAATTAATATAGTTTATGAGAGAACGTTCTTTAGTTATTAAGAAATAAATACTAAAATCTAATGTTGTTTAATAATATTTAAATGAATGGAATTGTCGTTGTTTTTTTTTTCAGAATTACTCAGAATTAATTTGATTGTTTGAAAGAGTCATTACGTGTAGAAAAATCGTAAAAATTCTAAATTTAGACCACTTTCGAAACCAATCGACTGGGTTGCTTTTAAAAATTTTATTACTTTACCTTTAAACCCAGATAACCGAGCACATATCCTAATGAATTATAAATGAAGTTCATATTCTATGCACTTTTTCGATCATGTGGCTTCCTTTTTTTTATTTTTTTGTTTCTTTTTTCGTTTTTTCCAATTTCATTCTTCTATATAATCTATCAACTGATTTGTTTCTCTATTTTATTTAAAGAATCTTCTAATAAATGGAAGTGAAAATCCGATGGGATAAAAGACGAGACCGAGTTATCTACAATAAAATAATATTAAAAATATCTCACTATAAAACTGAAAATAAAGCATTAATCTAAACTTAGAAATCTAACTCCCCTCTAAAGAAAACATAGTTTAACTTCATATACACATACAGAAACAGTCGACATTCTTAAGGCCTTCATATATATATATATATAAGAAAGAAGAGGGAAAAATCTCTATAAACTTATAACTTTGTCAGCTTGTTAAAGTGAGAAACGATACTTAAAGTCACCTGTCTCGAAACTGAGCATCAGATGAAGTGTATGACCGAAGAAAGTTTAAGAAAGTCTTAACTTTTATCAGGGATGCACGTCAAAGATCCGCTTTATCTGCCAACATCCAATCGAACTGCTCCAAGCTTAATCCTCATCTTTTCCTTCCAGAAAACGAAGGGGGCAGATAAGAAAAGGGAAATGTTTGGATTTGTTTTTTGACACCCTGGATATAGATATTACCATTCTGTTCTACTATTTTATAGCTGTTACTTATCAAAATCTAGTTTTTCTCCTTTATTTTTTTTTTCTTCTCTTCTCCTTCTCCTTCTAATTCGCTTACAGTGTCAACCATTGTGCGCGTTATAATCAGTTTATCTCTTACAATGACATTCCTCCTCTTATTTAATAAAGTTAAGAACTTCAAAAGTGTTGTATTTATTATTATTATTATTATTATTATTTCATATTTATTATTTTTCGAAGAGTTAATAAGTAGTTTAAATAAATATCTATTGTTTAAATTAACGAAAAACCCAAATATTTTTTTCTATTAAAAATAATAATAATAATAATAGTTTGCTTAGGAAGGACAGATTAGGAAATAGATAGGATTAGAGACAAATCTATTAGAGAGACTTTAAGCGTCAAGTGATTTCCGGTTGTCGAATGGTAGATCAGAAAGACAAGCCATACATCATAGATGGCGCGGTACAATACACGGCGCCCTCTCGCGGGAATCCAAAGAACTATCAAAGGAACCCGAAATGATTTAGTTTCATGTAGAATAAAGATCAAAGATCGTCTCTTTATTCATTTTTAATATATTATTATAATGTCCACGTGCTTTTTCAAGAACGGATAAAAATTTCTGCTTATTTCATTTTATTTATTTTATTTATTTATTTTTTTTATATTTAAATCATAAATTATTAATAAAATAAAATTAAAATTGTAAACATTTTTTTTAAGAA